TCCGTATATATTGTGATAGTGTGTGACTGAGTGTGTTGTTTGTGTGTGAGCTCACAGTTAGCACAATATTGCAGTGAATTGCTTGCTATTAAATCCCTGATGAGTGTCCGTACAAACGAACGCAACCATTGAGGGAGAGAGAGAGAGAGAGAGAGAGAGAGAGCATACAGTAAATGAACCCGAATATAAATGGCGAAGAGTTGTGTCACAAAACCCAATATACAATAGAAGAGCAGATTTGTTAAGATATTGCTAAAAGTTTTTGCTCGAGAGAGAGAGAGAGAGAGAGGCATTAAATTCCACATCAGATGTATTTCCTATTGATTTGTTGCCTTTCAATCTCTTCAGCAATTTTTTATAGTATAGTGAACTCCGAAAAGTGTTTTTCGCAATTAAATATCATTATAGCAGTGGACGAGAGAGAGAGAGAGAGAGAGAGAGAGAGAGCGTTCAACTAATTAAGGACTGAGAGTAGTAGCGAAAAGACATACAGAGTTTTGTTATATAAAGTTTAAGCGCCGGCAGAATCGTGTGTGCCATCAGTGAGCCAACTATACTCTGGCATATTATATACCAGTGCTTAATGTTATTGCTTAGTGGCCGCACATAATATAATAAAGACCTCTGCAGTTGGCAACACAAACAACAACGACAGCACAACACATACCATATATACACACAAAAAATGGTCAAACCGTATATAAAAAGCGTATATAACGGCAACGCTGTGTATCTGTGGCACAGATATCAGGCCATAAGCGATACCATTAGGGTTGGTATACAGCGAGCGAGCGAGCGAGCGAGCGAGCGAGCGAGCGAGCGAGCGAGCGAGAGAGAGAGAGAGAGAGAGAGAGAGAGAGAGAGAGTGGAGCTGTGATGCAATTCAAATAAAACAATTGTGAGTTTGAGTGAAGAAATATAAAAAACATTTTAGAAATTGTTTCCAAAACTTTTGAATAATTATTATAGCAATGTTTGCCAATTCGTTATAACCTATTGTTATTTCAAACCCTCTCTAAATCATGTATTTATTTGAAATATATGTTTGAAATATATATTTTCTCATTTACTTCATAGCACTCATACAATGCATATCATTACCACTTCAACAATACAGTGGCGTTACGATTGTATGATAGCATCGATCGGAAATTGAAGGTAGGCTGCATTGCAATGCCCCTGCATGTTTGTATGCATTGAAAATAGTCTCTAACCTCTTTTTAGCCCCCCTAGACCCCAATATGCAGAATTTTCATTATAGCCAATGATTTTTATTTGCCACCAGCTTTCCAATGATATATAATTCATCAAGATCGGTGATTAGCACATAAAACAGTTGGATTGTCAGTATATAACAGTGCACTAACACACAGGATATAATATAACATGGACACTGGCGAGAGTAGCGCCAGTAGGTTTAATGTTGATAATATAACCATGTTTATTACTATACTGAACGCTACGGTTCAGATCAATTCAAACGCACAACTCTTTGCTCAATGTTTTAAATCTTTGTGTTGTGTTGTGTTGTGTTGTGCTCTTCAGTGACAGTCGTTGGCCTTATATTTAAAAATCGATACTTTTCTATGCCATCAGTGTTTGTGTCACCAGAATATTCTGCAATATTCTCTTTCACAATATTCTTGAGCTGTTTTTAGAGACAATATACTGTATATATCTCTCTATACGTATGGATTACAATCTTTCACAACATTTCTTGACTCTTGGTTGTTATTAAAATACTATTTTCCTTCAAATATACTTAATGATAGGAGAGAGAGAGAGAGAGAGAGAGAGAGAGAGAGAGAGAGAAATGAAAAATATGACGTGAAATATAGTAAACTAATTGTTATTGAAAAAACTATGAAAACATAATTATAATTTCATACCACATATCATATTAATGCATAACAGGAACAGTATATTAATGGGTAAAAACAAAAATGATATAATAATATAAAATTATTTCCCCAAAAAATGTTTAATGAATAATACTTTTATTTAATTATTGTTATTATTTTTAGTCAACATATTATTTTTAGGGTTACTTTTGTTAATAGGTATTCAAAACACATATGAGAGAGAAAATCATTTGTTATATAATTTAATTTTCTATATTTATATAAATATGTATAAAACAACTGCTATTTGCTGATTGTTTTTAATTTCAATTATTCCCACCGATGGTATTATTATAGCACTTAAAACAATCGTTATAATCGTATAAATGTTTATTAATACTTATATTATTATGATTTTGGTTGTCTCTCTCTCTCTCTCTCTCTCTCTCTCTTACAGTATTAACTCTAATTGTAACCCAAATACAGATAACATCACTTACTTTGGGTTTGGGCTTTGTGTACACAGCAGGCTAAATATTGGCGAGACAGTTATAATTCTCTGAAAGAAATAAAATTGAAATAAAAAATAGCTGAAAAATTTCTGTATAAAAAGCCATTTCCTTTTCAATCGTACACTACTTTTAGCCGTCAATAGAGATATGAATTGTGAACTCAGATGTCTGTCTCTTTTACTCTCACTTTTTAAAATGTTTACACATTTTCTCTGCCTTTTCGTAGACTGAAAACCTCTCTATTCCTTAGACTTCACTCATGAAATCAATAGCAAATTTTTTCCGCTGCCGTCGAACCCACTGTTCAATACATTTCTTATAGATATATAACAGAAAATTTTCTATTCTTTTAATACTTTAAAAACTTTTTTCTTTGATATAGATTTTTGTTGTGTGTCTGTTGTGTTGTTTTTCCTTATAGTTTACTATAACGAGTCTAATCACATGAATTTCGTCTCTCTCTCTCTCTCTCTCTCTCTCTCTCTCTCCTCACTCACTCATATAGAGTGATAAATGTGCCCAAAAATAGCAAATAATGTAATTCTCTTTATTCGACTATCTTTTCCATTGAATTCATTGAATCCATTATTTTATTGCTTTATTTCGCGCCGATGTTTGCAAAACACAACTAATGGTCCGAATGAAAGACTAAATCCTAAATATTATATTTCTTATATGACAGAGCGGTTATAAATCGGACGACACATGTGTTTCGGGTTTGGGTTTCATTCACTACAATAGACATAAACCCAATGTTAATCTCAATTATGACATTCTCTCTCTCTCTCTCTCTCTCTCTCTCTCTCATTCTCTCTCCCCCTCTATTATACTTATACTCTAAGACTTACTTTTATTGGTTTTATAATAGCTTTGAGAAGTTTTTATACTTTTTTCTTCTCTATCGTCTATTAGGAGAAAGAAAAAAATAGTTAACAAAAAATTTTGTCGATTGTTTCGCGCGATTAAAAAATAAATGATTTTAATTCTCCACTTTTTGCGATACTTTTATCCCTACAAAACAAAGCCTGAGTTATTAATACCGATGACAATCATTAATGACATTGCATTTATTTATTCAATCCATAGGTATCAGTGAATACAGGGCTACAGTCGGCGGACAGGTATCCCTTCCCTGTAACACAAGTATGTGGATCGAAGAGGACATCTCGCTGGTGATCTGGTACAGGGGCAGCACCGGTATACCCATATACCGGGTGGACGCCCGGTCCAGTCGACTGTCTAACTCGAAACAAGTGCCGTCCGACGAGTTGGGCGGTCGGGCGGTAATGGATGTGTCAGTACTGCCGCCGACACTCAAACTGGAGCCCGTGCTCGAGGAAGACGAGGGCGACTATCGGTGTCGAGTCGATTACCGTAAACAACGGAATCTCTCTCTCTCTCTCTCTCTCTCTCTCTCTCTCTCATATTCTCTCTCCCTCTCTATTATACTTATACTCTAAGACTTACTTTTATTGGTTTTATAATAGCTTTGAGAAGTTTTTATACTTTTTTCTTCTCTATCGTCTATTAGGAGAGAAAAGAAAAATAGTTACCAAAAAATTTTGTCGATTGTTTCGCGCGATTAAAAAATAAATGATTTTAATTCTCCACTTTTTGCACTACTTTTATCCCTACAAAACAAAGCCTGAGTTATTAATACCGATGACAATCATTAATGACATTGTATTTATTTATCTAAACACTAGGTATCAGTGAATACAGAGCTACTGTCGGCGGACAGGTATCCCTTCCCTGTAACACAAGTATGTGGATCGAAGAGGACATATCGCTGGTGATCTGGTACAGGGGCAGCACCGGTATACCCATATACCGGGTGGACGCCCGGTCCAGTCGACTGTCTAACTCGAAACAAGTGCCATCCGACGAGTTGGGCGGTCGGGCGGTAATGGATGTGTCAGTACTGCCGCCGACACTCAAACTGGAGCCCGTGCTCGAGGAAGACGAGGGCGACTATCGGTGTCGAGTCGATTACCGTAAACAACGGACACAACACTTTCTCGTCCACCTCAACGTCACCGGTAATGCATTGTTATTTTCTCATACGTTTGCCTCCCATTTCCATCCCATCCATCCATTTATGCCATTCATTAATTGCTGTCAAAATATTATGTATGATATGTTATATAACTTATATTCCGTGCTCTTCACTTCCTCTCCATCTCCGGATCCCTCTTCGCTGTCATTATATGTCTACACAAACAGTTCCGCCGAAACAAGTAATCATTAAAGACGTGGACGGAAATAGACTCCGGGATGTGATCGGACCGTACGATGAGGGCGACAGTTTGACACTCGTGTGCGAGGCTTATGGAGGT